TGGCCATATATCATCTATGCATGACCATATATCATCTATGCATGACCATATATCATCTATGCATGACCATATATCATCTATGCATGGTCTTTTATCAGTACGCCGTGCGTATGCTTAACAAAGCGAGCATTGTGGCAGTGCTTGCCTCTTGAGTATCGAGGGAGATCGTCTCCACCAGAGGCCGCTACCTCTCGACGCAGAGAGCGTCGAGAAATCCGGACCGCCGCGTAAATCATTTCCCCCCTTTGGTAGGAAACAAAAGAAGCAAAGAGCTGCAGCCATGGAAGTTGCTCACTCACGCCACTGCTGCCAGGGCCTCCACTCTATAAACAATTTTGAAAGCTATAAACCGGTTTTATTTCACCACGTAAGGCCCACTGAGCTTTATAGCTCTCTTTTTTCAGAAGCGATCCTGGGACTATCAAACAGTGATAGTGGCTCAACGACGTGGCTCATTATCATCGTCACGTGCAAATGTATAGCAACGAAATATTTTAAACGCGTGATGTTGATTCTAAATGTGGAAGGGAAAAAAACCCCGAAGGACCCGGACAAAAAATCCACGTGACCACGGGGAGAGAGAGACACACACACTCCAAATATACAGCAGCTGGCGTCAGGGTCGGGATCGAACCCAGGACCTCCTGCACACCAGGCGAGTTAATTAACATCTCCTAGCCACCCTAATGATGATGAGAGAGAGAGACACACACACTCCAAATATACAGCAGCTGGCGTCAGGATCGGGATCGAACCCAGGACCTCCTGCACACCAGGCGAGGTAATTAACATCTCCTATCCACCGCGGTGATGATGAGAGAGAGAGACGCAGACTCCAAATCTACAGCAGCAGGCGTCGTCAGGGTCGGGATCGAACCCACGACCTCCTGCACACCAGGCGAGGTAATTAACATCTCCTAGCCACCGCGGTGATGATAAGAGAGAGAGAGACGCAGACTCCAAATCTACAGCAGCAGGCGTCAGGGTCGGGATCGAACCCAGGACCTTCTGCACACCAGGCGAGGTAATTAACATCTCCTATCCACCGCGGTGATGATGAGAGAGAGACGCAGACTCCAAATATACAGCAGCAGGCGTCGTCAGGGGTCGGGATCGAACCGACGACCTCCTCCAGAGGGTATATCTGCTTCATCCTGCCACGTTGCGGTTGACCAGGCGTACCCACACTCCTCCCACCACGCCACCTGCCGATGGACTTACCTGTGGTGGTGGGACTCAAGTTGAGTACGGTGCACTGTTTACGGCCGGGTGGACTGAGACCGTTGGGGGAGTTTTTTTTAGAAACTTGCCGCGCCTGGAGATCGTAAATGGGACTGTAAAATGTGGTGACCACAGGACAGGCAGCCCCCCCCCCCCCCAGTGTCACGAATACAATACAACGTTGCGATCTGCATGCCACGTGTTCATTCCATTGCTTCTTCTGCTTTGCCGTTTACTCCCAGTGCGAATAAAGATTGTCATCATCGTTGTTGGTATGATGGCGATGATGATGATCATTGTGCTTGTTTACCCAGGGAGGCGTAACTGAGTCTCGTGTTTTCACAGCAGGGGGTGTTGTTGCTGCTGCTGTGCTCTCACTCGAGCGGTTCGCGCAACGCTGCGCTACGAACCCGACGACCCGAGTTCGATTCCCGCTCACGGCCAACACCGGTGACGATTATCTCGACCCGGCTCTGGGCCTCCCCTAGGTCGACTCAGCCTCAAATGAGTACCCGGCGCGGTGTGTGAACATCCCCACTGGGGAGACAAAGGCGTCCGGGCATGGTGCTGGCCACCCACCCCCTCGTGTACCGTGCCGGCCTTCATAGGTGCTCCTCGCTAACAGCACTTGCCCCAACAGTCTGTAAAACGTTATACTTGGGGGGGGGGGGGGTCGTCTTTGTCTTGATCTCAATCGAGGAGGCTCTAAAGGACGCTCCTGGTCAGTCGGGGGGCAAAGCCTCGCCACCTGTGAGGCCACGAGGCGTGATGCCCATTGTCTCCTGCAAGAGTGCCCCTTCCCCATCCCATCACGACGTTCACGAATCATTCAGCAAAAGCCTCCGTGCACCTGTGACCTGAAGAATTCGCAGTGGCGGGCTGAGAGAAGAGATGGAGCTGACGCGGTACGGGAGGATGTGGAGCTGAGTGGACTTGCTGACGACTGGGTACCAGCGGTGTCAAGATCGGCATCTGTGGAGGAGGCTCGTGAAGGACGCCGCTGCTCCTACTACTGGGCAGTTGGAGGCAGTCGCCATCCAGCAAGAACAACAACGGAGGGCAGAGGAGCGACGCTCACAACAACGAGCGGAGCGCCGGGCGTGTAAAATAGAGCGAGTTGGCACAGTATGGGGGCACAGCTTGGTGGATCTGCCAGTCATCTCAGTCAGTCAACCCCATGGCACCCGCAGGGTCTGTCCCGTGGCCTCCTACCGCCAGCAGTGAGCCTTCGACACAGACGTCGTGGTGAGGTCACCGTCGCTGAATGGCGAGTGGCGGGGTTTTGGAATTGGATCTCAACTGAGTAATTTGAAGGTAATTTTGCCAGCAGTGGCACGTTTGACCAATACCATGTGGGGTTATTTTTCTTTGTAGCTATGGGAGGAAACCGGAGAACCGGGAGGGAATGCATGCAGAACAGAGGAAGGACAGAGAAAGAACGCACAAACTCAACACAGAAAGGCGCCCGCATAGGGAATCGAACTGAGTCCCTTCCTGGTGTAAATCAACAAGCGCCACCCTGAAAATAGGAGATTTAAGAAACATAAAGATGCGCTTCTGCGGCCGTCTGGAACGCTCTTCCCTCCGATATTAGGATGCCACTGGAACTATGCAATTTTAAATCATCTAGATTGAAAACTCGTTTCTTTAGAACTGATTCTTGTGTGTTTAGTTTGCTGTCCTTCCCCCGCACCTCTGATTAGCGCGGTTGGCTACGTACGGTGCGAAAGAAGTTCAACAAATACAGCGTACTGCCATATCGCGGCGACCCTTAGCGCGGCAGTGAGTGAGAGAGATATGGGTACACTGGGATACACACAGTGATGTTACACCTGGGATCGCTAAGTCCCTCGTCATTCGCCTTGAGGTCATTCCATATACACTGCGTAACAATGGGCTGTGTTCATAGGATGCAGTCTTATTCCTATTCCATTTGATGCACAAATGTAACATTTTAAACTCCCCAGTAGTGTGCGACCGTGGTCACCCAGAACGTTTGACGACCACGCAATGCCCCGATCCACAAATACGAAGAGAGACATCGCAGCGATGCACCTCGCTACCCCTGGCGCGGTTGTCTGCTGCCTTGACCGCCACCTGAACGTGAAGTTGTGAGTCGTCGCTCTGCATCTACATCAGCAGCCGTACGGAAGAAGAAGAAGGGTGCAAGTGTCCAGCAGAAACATTAACGGGGACATCTGCCTGCGACAACCCTAAATGGAAGCCAAGTTACAGTGCGTCAATCGGTGCATGTGAAATAGACAAGTTGTTCAAAACGCATAAATGATATACAGTATTCGGGTTTGGCATTGCTACCCACCCCACCATGCACGACCCTGATCGTACTGACACAAATTTTCCTGATTTGTCGGTACCGATTAATCGGTATTTCGAGCCTGCTGATGAGACTGAGAAAATCAAAACCAGCCCGTGGTTTGCCTGCTTCCTTAACAAACAGCTGTGGCTGGGACAATCACGTGGATTTTCTTTAAGGTCTCGTGATTGGTGGACCTGATCATTATTTCAGATTAATGGTAATTGTAATGCGACTATTGAGTGATTGCTCGCATCTTTTTTCAACAATCAATCCATCGAAACGATTGCTGCTCAGGGCCGGGTTGATCCAAGGGGTTTTCGGGATTGCAACTCGGGTCCTCGTGTCTCGAGGTGCCACAAAACATACCAACAGCTTCGTGATGGTTGGAACTCAATACCATAAGCACTTTGATAAAGCTTGTAGTATATAGGTCAGTGGTTCTCACCAGGAGGTTACGCGGTGTCCCTAGGGGGTAAGTGTGCCTTAGACTGTCACATTCATTGTGCTTAATGTGCTCACACGATTGATGTCCATTATTCATACATTTATTTCTCAGAACCAAGTTGGGTCAGGCACAGCGGAGGGAGGTAACTCAGTTGAAACTAATTTTAACAAAGGGGGGTTACATCAGTCGCCAAAAATGTTGAGAACCACTGCTCGAAAGGTAACTTGGGTCATGAGAGCAATGGATAGCAGCACTGTCTGTGTGTGTTTATTCGGGCTCGTTGCAAAATGAAAAGTGATGGTTCGTTCGGTGCGTTGACTCAGCTTGACAAGTCGTACGTCGCATTTAAACACCGGAGATGAAATTCTATAGCCAAGGTGGAATAAGAGTGGAGTTGGACGTGGTGGTGGTGGTAAAGGAAGTATTGAGATAGTGGGATTGCCGGCACAACTATAAACTCAATTCGGGCCTGATTATGGTGATGTTATGATGACGATGAGAGAGCATTGCCCAGACTTATCGCCTCTTCTTTTCTTGTTCCAATGCTGAATACCCCCCCCCCCCCCACAAAACAATAAACACAATAAACACTTGCCACCGTTACAGGCGACCAAACAGATTTTCGTTTAAAACAAAACACGTTGAACACGGTCTTTTATTTTTTGGCAACGATGTTTTTTTTTAAATAATCATTTAAAGCTTTACATCCCAAACAACAACAACAGCAATAATAACAACAACGGCCCGCACATTCTAACGCGAAAGGGCACGTGCCCAATTTGATGACTGCATGCGTTGCTGTTCCGATTCGCGGTCCGAGAGAGCCCTCCCCGCCGTCGTCTCTAAAACCAGCTTAATGGGAACCGCATGGCGTTCGATGTTTGGCATTTTGTGAGTTCGGGGATGGCAGGGGGAGTTGAGTCAACGATGTTTTAAAACAACACTCGGGCCGAACCATCCGCTCCGCACTTGGCAGGGGGTGACGTCTGCGGTGCAAAGTGGATTTGTAAAGCAGCTCGCTGCGTGTCCGAGAACGGAGTGGAGTCGGTTGGATTGCTCGGCGTTGTTGGTGGGGGTGGGGTGGAGGGTGACACGTTTGGCTGCTTCGCGATGGTTGAGCCTCAACGTTATTTAAAGGGCTCCTGGATTCGTGGCGTTATTTTGACGCCCGCTGTGAGAACTCGCTCACGTCATCTCACCACCGCACGCAGTCGCTGCAGTGCGCGCGCACGCACGCGCACGGGAAAGACAGCGCGCAAGGCAGCCGCCTCTGGCTCGTTGTGATTGCACGCGCATTGGGGATTGGATGCACCCATCATCATCATCCCCGCCCCTCCTCTGATACGATTCCCAACAAGAGGCGGCTGGCTACTCTATAAATAGAGCAGCTTCGTCCTGTTTATTTCTATTGACGTATCTAGGCTGTAGCAGCAGCAGAATCCACAACATTCACAACATCAACAGCCACCGCAGCAACAGCAACAGCATGTGTCTCATCAGCGGCTACCTCCTCCTGTGTCTGCTCTGCACTGCGGCTGTCCGTGGTAAGACGAAGACAAATTCTCTCTGCTCCGTGCTGCGTGTTGAACGCGCGCGACTCTGATGCATTGTTTGGCGATGTGTGCGCGCGTAACGTATCGTAAAGCAATGTGATGGCAAGTCTGTGTGTTTTTTGTGCATTGTCGGCTGACCGTGTGTGTGTTTTGTGCATCGTTCAGTATTGTAATCGCAGCCTGTGTTTTGTGCATTGTCGGCTCTGTGTCCGTATTGTAAGCTTTGTGTGTATTGTAAACCGACGCAACTGGACGCGTTTGTCAATGTGTATTGTAGGCTACGCGTGTGTGTTGTGGGGAGCGGTAGTAGAGCGTAACGAACCCGGCAACCCGGGTTCGATTCCCGCTCACGGCCAACACCAAGTAACGATTATCTGAACCGGTCCTGGGTCCCCCCTAGGTCGACTCGGCCGCAAATGAGTACCTGGTGCGGTGCGTAATCGTCGCCACTTGGGAGACAAAGGCGGCCGGGTGTGGTGCTGGGCCACCCACCCCCACGTGTGCCGTGCCGGCCTTCACAGGTGCTGCTCGCTAACAGCACTTGCCCCTACGGTCTATTAAAGGCTACACGGGGGATCTTGTATTGTGAGCAAGCGTACTGCCTTGCGTGGGCTATGTTTGTGTATTGCACGCTGTGTCTGTATTGCAAGCGGTGTATGTCTATACTTAAAACAACGTGCACTATTTTAGGGCATTGTAGGCTACGTGATTGTTGTATTGCAAGCAATGAGAGTGCTGTGATACACAGTGTGTGCGTGTTTATTGTAGGGCTATATGTGGTTAAGTGTTTGTCCATTGTTATAGGCTCTGAGTGTAATCCACAATACTGTAGAGGTTTTTGGGTTAGATCGCGTAAATGTGTGTCGTTAAAGCCGCCACCACCCGACACAGCCAGCTTTGTAAGGTGCGTCGCATAAACAAAACGCGCCAATTTGTTACTAGTTCAGCACGATTTGGCATGTTTTGTGACGAATTTGTGTGTTTAGTTACACGCGAGAAACCTTACTAATTGGTTGTGTCGGGTGGTGACCGATTTAACGACACACACTTACGCGATCTAACCCATATCATGGGTAACATTGTGTCGCGAAATGCTACTGCGTGTTAAACTACGGCTGGTAATGTCGGCTAAGTTTCTTGTCGAGCCACTGCTGGATAAAATGCCTCTCTCAACGCCGTGCCAATGGTGGGTTCGGGTTGTTTGACCATACTTCACCACGACGGTCAAGGCCAGCCGGTACGGCGCAGGTGGGGTGCCCAAGACTGGCACAGATTGAACTCTGTAACTGGATGTTGGCCGTGGCCGGGAATTCGAACTTGGGTCACCATCGGGTTCAGTGCGAGGGCCACTGATCCACCGTTCTTCCTGTGCATTATATAATGTCCAATAATATATATTGTATGTTATTATTATATACTGCACAGTATTGTATATTGTAGGACGCCGATAAAGGACTGCATGTTCACCTTGCACGGTATTTGATGTGCACAGTAGCGCGCAGAGTGCAAGTAATACAATGTTACCATTTTTTCTAGAGAGATTCATAATTCGAATCGCAAATTCCCCGTCTGGAAATCCTTATGCGGCACAGTAATCGAACATTCCGCAATGTTACCGCGTGGTATTAATTGCAACGCAGTACTGCTGTGGCACATGGCCATACGCGTGCAGCACACGAACACGGAGCCGATGTACAATGGTGGGTCAATGAACACAAGACAAAGGTCCCCCGTGTGGCCTTAACAGACTGTTGGGGCAAGTGCTGTTAGCGAGTAGCAAGCACCTATGGGTGGCCAGCACCACGCTCGGGCCGCCTTTGTCTCTCCCAGCGGCGACGCTTACATATAACGCACCAAGCTACTATTTTGAGGCTGTCGAACTAGGGGATGGCCCAGAACCGGTTCAGATAATCTAACTCGTGCACACACACACACACACAAGCGAGTACATTGTTGTTGTAACGTTCTGACCCCGTGCCTCTCCTGGGCATTCTGAAAAAAAAGAGCTTTATAGCTCTTCTAATTTCTCCGGTTATAAATAAACATTCCGATTCTGTAATTTTCGTGTTGCTTCCCACGTGCGAGTAGGCGACATTAGCAACGACACAACACGTGCACGCATTTGCCATGAGATCACCGGACGGATCATTGCCCCGTACGCACGCTGAGGTTATCCGGGACAAAGCCCTCGGGGCAATTCCACTGCTGGATGAGCCCCCCCCCCCCCCCGAATGATTAAACGTTCCTTTGATTGTCACGAGGTGGTGTTCTGTCGTCCCTGAATGTCTATCGTTATTCATATATACGGAATACTATACGTTTATTTAGAAGTCCTCACTGCTGGTGAAACCCAAGAATGTTGGAACAGGGCCACAAAGTTTGCACGTTTGAACTCCTGGATAATATTGATGTGGATCAAAGAGGAAAACACCCTTATAGGTTAAGACAGAACGGAGCTCTGCTCATTCGTAATTTATATAACTAGGGATGGATTCTACTTAATTTAGAGGAACGCCAATTTTCAACTCCCGTAGGAATAAATGAGATTGTTTTGCAAATGACTTCAAGTGTCCCAGTAGCCTAATTTTGTCCTTAAGCCGGGGGCCACACCTAGGCCACACCTAGGCCACACCTAGGCCACGCCTGGGCCACGCCTGGGCCACGCCTGGGCCACGCCTGGGCCACACCTGGGCCACACCTGAGCGCTCGGTTGTGCAACTTAATTGCCTGTAGCTGCTTTGTTCACATCTGAGCCGAGTAATCGCGTGACAAGGACATTACACACGACACGCATTGTCAGAGTCCTGCACAGATCTACATATCGTCTACCGTGCACAATAAATGGGTTTTTTTTTGGGGGGGGGGGGGGGTAGATCGCGTAAATATAAATGTGTCGTGAAACCCGCCACCACCCGACACACAGCCAATTGGTTAGGTTTGTTACGCGACTGACAAGCCTTAATAATTGGCCGTGTTGGGTGGTGCGAGTTTAACGACACATTTATGTTTATGCGACCTAACCAAACAAAAACCTTTTAGCATGGATGATAATATTGGTCGCGAAGGCCTACGTGTTAAACCGAGTAACCGTGCTTGACTTTCCACAATGTGGTACACGTTTTATTGACCCTGGAGGGATGGTTGGTTGAGTCAAATTGCGACTCGAGCGCTTCAGCCGCCGTGCCGCGTTGATGGTTTCTCAGACGACCTCAGGCCGTGATATTTATATAAATATATTTTATATGAAAGGTATTGAACACAAATACAATATACGCTGTGGCACGTACTGTCAAGTGTGCAGGCAGTGTGACTGCACCGCTGGGTTCTATGGACCTGAAGGGGCCCAGGCGTTGGGGTACGAAGAGTGGTGGGGGACATTGGACAGGGAGGGTCTGTCCAATTCTATCCTGGTCACCTACGGTGGCTAGATGTTGACTACCTCGCCTGGTATGCAGGAGGTCGTGGGCTCGAGCGTGTGACCCTGACGCCTGTTGTTTGCGTGTCTCTCTCTCTCTCTCATCTCGTGGTCACGTGGATTTTTCTCCAAGTCCTCCGGTTTTTCTCTCCACATTTTAGAATCGCGCGTTTAGAGTCTTTGGTTGCTATAAGTGTCCACATGCTACGCCACGTTTGTGGCCAGGTCGCTTCGGGAAAAGAGCTACACAGCTCAGCAGGTCTTACCTGGTAACAATATACACGGCGTAATAGTTTGAAATAGTTTTTCGGGTTAACGGCACAAAGAATTGTATCCACTCGAAACCCCAACGGGAGGCCGAACCCAAAAACAAATGTGGATCGCCACAGTACAGGTGGATGTGTAACGAGTACAGGTGATCGGTTACAGGTGGATGTGTAACGGGTACAGGTGATCGGGTACAGGTGATGTGTAACAGGTACGAGTGGTGTGTAACAGGTACGAGTGTGCAACGGGTACAGGTGATGTGTAACAGGTACGAGTGTGTAACGGGTACAGGTGATCGGGTACAGGTGATGTGTAAACGGGTACAGGTGATGTGTAACAGGTACGAGTGATGTGTAACGGGTACGAGTGTGCTTTTGCTATCTCCGCTCGGCCCGAGTACCGGTGCGATACACGGAGCCCCCGATTATGCGTAGCATTCATCGCGAAAGCCTCGTGCTACACTTACTCGCGCGTGACGCTGAGACGGGTAACATTGCTGGACACCGAGTGCGAGGAGCAACGTGAACGCGATGGCGGTATATTTTTTTACCATTTCAAGCCGCGGAGAGGTAAAGCGTGACCACGGCAACAACATAGGTGTTTGCTTTCACCAAACTCCTTACAGGACCCTTAAACTCTCCCCCCCCCCTCTAACCCTGTGTCCCTCACCTCCCGCATTCTATACATTCCACGGTGAACTCCAGCCGCGGCTGTATTGCTACAAAGTAACAGTTCGAGGGCCCTTTTCAGGACGTCTCGGTGGACGCGTTTGAGCCGGCGCGTGTTCTGACATGTGCGGGGGTCAACGCCTGAACAACCAAAGACCCCCCCCCTCCCTTCCCCCGGTGGAGTCATTTTGGCTTCGAAGTTGCCCTCGCTTGCCTGAGCCACACGCGGCACGATTCCGATGCCCCTTCTCTTACCTGTAGTGGAATGTGGCCCACGTGTGCCGCTGCCTCCCAGTAGCCTCCCACAATCGCCGTGCGTTCGTGCGTTTCACTCCGCCTGGGGTACGACCACAAATACAGAAGCAGAGGCTCCACCATGCCTGGCTTCTGCAGTGTCGCTGGGGCGAGTGCTTTTTTGGTGTCGCAGCGCCGGATGAAGACCCCCCCCCCCCCCCCGGTGGCGGCGAGCAAACGCCTCCGATGCGGTGTTTCCGAGCGCCAAGCCAGGCCCCCCCCCCCCCATCCTTGTTGTGTGCGTCCCTCGTGCTGACGTTGACACACCACGCCAGGTGAATGATCTCATTGAGATTACGACAGAGGACTGCCTCGGGCAAGGTACACCGGGCTCCCATTTGATGTCTGGACATTGTGCCCAGGAATCGGTCCCATAGCTGTCAACCCATACGGTTTACCCCCATGCTTGTACAGGGAGATTGAGATTTCAGGTACATATGGCGTACAGCCGTTTCAATACGGACAAAAGAAGCATCGTCTATTTGTTTGTATTTCTCCCTTGTGATTGGACTTTGTAGGATGAACGTTGAGATTTATAAGGGGCATGGAGTGACCAATAAGGTCGGAATTGGTCTGTAATAAGGTAGGACACAGATAAGGGGTTCACAGGAATGCGGTCCCGAGGAAGGAATTGCAACACAGCGAGTTTAGTATTACACCACTCCCTCCCCCGGAACACATTGATAGAGCACTGCACTGCAGACTCGGGCAACCCGAGTTTGATTCCTGGCCACAGGTAATATCCGCCACCAGTCGCGAGCCCCTAAACATCACCACTAAAGCTACACTGACCAGCATGGTGAAGTATGGTCAATCAACCCCCTTAACCAACTTGGAGTGAGGAGGCTTTCATTTAGCAGAGGATTTACAAAGCAGTATACGTTATTGCTATTCATAATGTGCATGTTATGAGTCGCTTCAATCGAATTCAACCAAATGAAGGCCTAACCACTTGTTGTGGGTTTTGGGTATTTTTTACTTCACCACGCTGATATTAGCGGGGTTGTCGTGGGGAGCAGGATCGGTTATTGTATCACTTGCTGCTGATGTCAGCCGTGGCTGTGAATCGATCTTGGGATTGGTGGGTTCATACCGCAGTGCGCTAACCACGACCGCCGCCACTCTACCGTGATTGTAAAAACCGTTAATGGACTCTTTTTTTAATTTTTTTAATTTTACCTTTTAAAAACTATAAACCATTTTTATTTGACTAGCTAAAGGCCACCGAGCTGTGTAGCCCTTTTTCAGAAGCGACCTGGCCACCAACGATAGCTCACCGAAGTGGCTTATTACAATGTATAAATGTATAGTAGCTAAAGACTCTGAACGCGTGACGTTGATGAAAAATATGGAGGGAAAAACCCGTAGGACCCGGAGAAAAATCCACGCGACCACTGAGAGAGACACGCAAACTCCAAATATAGAGCAGGCGTCGGGGTCTGGATGGAACCCACGACCTCCTGCACACCAGGCGAGGTAGTTAACATCTCCTAGCCACCGTGATGATGATGATGAGAGAGAGACGCAAACTCCAAATATAGAGCAGGCGTCGGGGTCTGGATCGAACCCACGACCTCCTGCACACCAGGCGAGGTAGTTGACATCTCCTAGCCACCGTGATGATGATGATGAGAGAGACACACAAACTCCAAATATACAGCAGGCGTCGGGGTCTGGATGGAACCCACAACCTCCTGCACACCAGGCGAGGTAGTTAACATCTCAGCCACCGTGGCGTGTCCTTCATTAATATCCCTGTACCCCTCTCAGGTGAGGAGTCATGTGATCCAAACCCGTGCGACAACGGTGGAACGTGCCTGCTGGACTCCACTAAGGACAGCATCACCTCCGTGTACCTGTGCATCTGCCCCGGAAATTTCACCGGGCCAAATTGCTCCTTTTCCAGTAAAGACAATGGTGAGTTCACATTCACGTGTGTGTGTGTGTGTTGTGGGGAGCGGTAGTGTAGCGGTTAGCGCGCTGTGCTACGAACCTGGCGACCCGAGTTCGATTCCCTCTTACGACCAACACGCAGGGACGATTATCTGAACTGGTCCTGGGCCTTCCCTAGGTCGACTCGGCCTCAAATAAGTACCAGGTGCGATGTGTACACATCGCCACTGTGGAGACAAAGGCGGCCAGGCTTAGTGTTAGCCACCCACCCCCTTGTGTGCCGTTCTGGCCTTCAAAGGTGCTCGCTAACAGCACTTGCCCCAACAGTCTGTTAAGGTTATACAGGGGATCTTTGTCTTTGTACATATGTTGAACTTCTTTCGCACGGTACGTAGCCAACGCGCTAATCAGTGGCGAGTGACATCCCGCCGCCCCCTCCTCTTCACCGCGCCGTGCTGACCATCGTGAAAACGTGACACATTTGTTTAACCAACGGCGTACCGTGTGCTGTAATTGGTCATAATTAGATATTATAATCGTTTGTTTATGTTTTGAAGGGAACGACATTTTTTTTGTAAAAGTCACTGTTTGCTTGTGAACATATTTTTTGTTCCGTTATGATCCTTAACCGTGTACAGTACGTGGTTTTATAAACAAGCCTTCCCCGACCCTGATATGTAGGAGAACGGCACAAGTACACGGCATGAATCATTAGCACCGACTCGATTTATAAACCTCGCTGATGTACGTTATTTTCCCTCCCAGTTAAACCTTTTCTCCTTCCGTGTCAAGTTCATCGTTAGGTCTTTGTAGATACTCAGCGGCGCGAGAAATTGGATGGACAGTGCCATTTGCTTGGTAGGCATGAACATACATCACCGTCACCTGTCACAGGGAGGTGATCGTAACTCACAGATTCATCTGCTGAGCTGCGTGCAAAATGTATTTCGGTGGCTGCAAGTAAAACGGTATTCTCGGCAATACAGGACGCACGTTTCCCCTGCTGTTGTTAAAATAAAAGGTTGGCGATGCGTCTTATAATCCGGTGGCCGTGTGCGCGTGCACGTCTCGGCCCAGATTTGTGTCACTTTATTGTTACCATGGGACGAGGTTTCGAGTGTGCGTCTTGCATTCCGGAGAATATTTTAATCCAGAGAGAGCGGTAATATCGCGTGTTTTAGAGTTCACCGTTTGGTGATGGAAGTCTGTGATATTGCAGAGAGGGCTTTTGGTAAATGAAACATGTCTTGAATCCCGTCACTCGACGTTGCGTGGCATCGCGCTGGGGAACGGCACCAGAAGATGACACCCCAGGACTATTTCTGGAGACATCACGGGAACGGCCTCTTATCCAATATTAGTCGGCGCTCCTCCAAACTCGTCCGGAGGAGGAGTAGGAGGAGTGCCGAGTATAAACTTGTTCAATGCCCCCCAACTGAATGCAACGGCAAAGCTTTTATTTTTCAAGCAAATAAAGACGTACTGCGAGAATCTGATCAACCCGTGACCGCGTACGCTCTCCTAGGCGGCTTGTGGGTTACTCTGGGCCACCAACACGTACAGTGATTGTCATGGCGTTGTTTCACCGAAGGAGGTCCGACCGTGATTTATGCACTTTTCTTGAAACGGGGAGGCGTCTTGGCCACGTGGTTGTCTTTGAAAACAGCGGATAGGGCACAAGACTACCCTCACCTGCAGGCATCTGCTGATGTCAAAACAAAACTTAACCAAAGTCGGGTGGGCTGTTATGTTCGTTGAACATCTTTTCGCGCCGTGCCTACGGTAGCCAACCGCGCTAATCGGAGGCACGGGGGAAAGACGACAAACTTAACACAAAACGATGTTGCGGGAAAATGGCACCGCGTAACTTCGGATTGAATTCCCATTTGCATCGCGTTTCCTGCCGAGATCCTTTGCACGTGTGTACAGCCATTTTTTTGTCAATTCACTGTTGGGTGGGAGTTCTAAAGAAATTAGTTTCCAACCTAGATTTAAAAGTGCATAGCTCCAGTGGCTTCCTCCTATTAAAGACTCGGCCTAGGGAAAACCGGCCACCTTGATCGAAGAACTCGCTCAACCCGGAGACCCAAACCGGCACTAGAAGGAAGTGTGCTGTCTCCGCTCCCCTCCCGATGGTGTCATGATTATGATGCCATCTCGCGGACTATCACGCGTCCCGCGCTGTATGACCTGACCTCGCCGTGCGTTTTGAAGCGTAACGTTGTTGTTATTATCATTGCCAATTAAATGCTTCTGACGGCAAACGCACGTTGCCACAGCCTAACGGAATCCGTGCGTACGTGCCATTCTCCTTCCCTCGTTTCTGCTTGGTGGGAGTTTTGTGACCGTCTCTGTTGCTGTGGCGTGCGTCTGGACCGGTTCGCAGGAAATCCACAAGAGGCGTCTGGCTCGGATCTGCCAGGTAGGCCGACCGATCACTTCTCCCATCGCCACTCGCGTCTTCCACGCGTGCTTTCATTTACCTGCTCGCGCTGCGCCGACGAATGAATACGAATACATATGTACATACCGCGCAGGATATGTTTTGTGAGAGTCGCAGATCTACGAGAGTCGCAGACGCGTCGCAAAGCCGGACACTGTTCTTTATTGTATTTTAAAAAAAGATATCTACTGGCCGAAAAGGCTGCGTGGTTTTATTCGGCTACGTACGGCTTGCCGCTGGCGACGCCGGGCGTGCGTGGAGTTTACGTTAAAGACCCCCCTGAGATGTATAAACACGGGTCGGCTATCGTCATGACGTTCTCACAAATCTCAACTTCGGATGTTAACCGTTTAGGAATTATATAACGACCGTCCCTTGTAAATACGCTCATCCAGGCCTCTCGCCCACACCCAACCCGGCCACCAAGGATGCTGCCGTGGTGCGCTGGACCTGCAACCCAGAGGTCGCTGGTTCAGTCTCCTGGCGCGGCAGTTGAAATGTTGGCGCAAGCTTCTTAAAATGCCCCCACGCCCCCCTCTGTTCACCAAAGCCAGTCGATCGGCTGGACGCGTGTGGTGGGGTAGAGGATGTGCACTTCCAAGATGCCTGGCCGGCATGGAAGAGTAGGCCAAAATGACCTTCAATAGAGGGGCTGTCTAGGGCACCCTGGAGTGGAGGCCCTTCTGCCAGCAGTGGTACGTGCGAGCGAGTGATAGCAGAGCTAATAATATATATACGCACCGTATAATACGTACGGCGCAGCGTACGTTCTTTGGTTCACCACTTCGGGGGGTATCCAATTGTGCCGTCGGCGTCGTGCGACGAGATTGTAAATCTGTTGTGGATCTTGAGCACCCTAAAAAAAAATAAGCGTGGTGCGTAAACAAGACAAAAAAACATTTTTAATCCGTTTGCACGACAGTTTGATATGCTGGGATGCGCCGCCGCGCCGTATAAAATACGTTTTTCACGCGTGACCCGTTTGAAATTTGTTGTTGGGATGGACCGTAAATGTATTGTTTTGATCTACTGGCCATCCCTCCACCCGCGTTGTAAATAATGAATCGTCGCCATATGTCCCCTGTTGCCCGCTTGGGAAATGGGCCGCAGACTAAACGCGGTCATTTGCATGCAGAGTGGGAAGACGAGGAACGCGATTTTTTTGACAACGCTCGTAAATAATTCTCCGCGTTCGCATCTCATTTGCCAAGCGAGGGCACCCACCCTCCTCCTCCTTGGCTTGTGCCACTGACGTTCATTAAACACAGACGAAGGAACAAAGCACCTAAAGATATGGCGTTGTCATTGTCATCGTTGTCATTGTCATCGTCCTCCTCGTCGTTGTCATCGTTCATCCCTTAAAGTCATTTGCATGGCGCAGCCTGATGCCATCGGACACCTTCCCTGCAATCCTCTCGCCAGTAGCCGCGACACACCGGCACGGCCCCGCCAGAATTCGAGACTTGCCGGACCTCGCCACCGGTGGGGTGCTCGGCAATGGGGAAGGGATTTCGAATGCAGAGCCGGATTATCCCAGTAGCACAAGTAGCTGCCACGTGTAGTAGCTACAGGCCCCGCACTTTCAAGGGCCCTGCGCTAAATGCTTTCAAGCTATCAATTCCGTTTCAGTGATTTTGCACTTGCTCTATTACTATAGTACTATACCGCCTTCGACTTTTATGAACGACTGGGTGTTTAAGGTTAGCGATTTGTCGTATTATCTGGCTGTATAGCAAATGAAAAAATCCAATTACTTACCTATGCAAGTTAAAAATGTGTTTTTAATATTTGAGTTTTTTTTATATTTGGGGCCCCTTTATAACATCATGCTACAGGCCCCGCACTAGCTTAATCCAGCACTGGTCGAACGTGATTCTGTAACGTGGCCTCCCGCAAGCTGTCCGTCCCAACTTGGGTGGGGCGCACCGCCGTCGTGGGGAAGATCTTACGGCATGTGACTCTTCGCCTCCCGACGGCACAATTCAAATTTAATTGAAGGACAAAACTGCCTGTTTTCAAGATTCGGTAGCCGTCTATGAGTTGTTATCCCCCTAGACAACGCCACCCCCTCCGTGCCCCCCCCCCCCCTAAATATATCAAAGCTAAATTACCGTCGTGTATCGTTTAAACGACCCTCTAATTTATTACGTTTTGCAAAGGCCACAATTGACAACGGTGCTGCTAAGGACGGGCAATGGGGGAGAGTCGACGGCCGTGGAACGGGTGTGGACCCAAGATAGAAACGTGCGTTTTGGTTATTTTGATTATTTGGCTGCGATTTTAAATTTCTGCATGATACGTTACTTCGTTGAGCGATCATTTGTGGCCAGGTCACTTTTGAAAAAGAAGCTAAATAGCTCGGTGACCTTTACCTGGTAAAATAAAATAAAACATTTTTTTAATATTTTTAGAGATTGGCCTACCTTCCTATACTTTGCATGCCTATCGTGTTTTTGTACTGTTTTTACTTTCTTTTTGACCCGCACCTACTGGACATCTGTGAAAAAAAGAGCTTTACAGCTCATCGGATTCCTCCAGTACAAATACATAGTCCGATTCTGCATCAATCTGCGGCCGTTCTTCCCATGAAAGCGCTCCGACTCGAGCGTCATTTACGGTTGGTAAAATAGTTTGGGAAATAACGATGCCAAATATAGCGGAGCCCGAGTTGCTGTTGTGAAGCTTTAAAAGTTCTAACTTGGTGGCAGCCAGCGCAGCCCGCGCGTGGTGGAGGAGCGCCGGTAACGCGACGGCAAGTCGACGCCGCTCGGCTGTGTTTGCGTCTCCGGTACTCGAATGCCATGATTATTAAGCGGGGCCTCGTGGTTTTTGAAGGCTTGTGCGCTAATGGGCATGCCATGGATCTCTGTAAGTAAAACAAAAAACAATCCTGCTTTGTGTAATTATCTGGGAATGTAGGTTATGTCGGCTATTTCCAGAGCCATTATGTGTAATTAATATTGGTCTGCTGCACATAGCGGTTTTAGAAGTCGGACCTTAAGATTTTTATTTATTTATTATTTTCCACTCTTAATGAAAGTTGCAACGCACTTGGATTTGTATGCGTTTCCAATTCCACATCCCTTTATAATCAGTAATATTTAAAATAAGTAATATTTAAAAACACGCTTTAATGAAATGTACCGTCTCTAGTAATGGCAGAACTCCACGACTCCAGGAAGTGGCCCCGAAGTTTGCCACAACGTAAGGGGGACCGTGACCAATTACAGCCAACGTCAGTTGACAGTGGACAATTAGACCCAAGCCGATACACAACATATAAAAAAAATAATGTTTAAAAATATATTTTTTTAAATTATAGAATATAGTATTGTCATCGGTATGACATAATTATACCGAGTTTGCAGTCGATACCACATTGAGAAATGGGTTAAAATTGAGTTACAAGATTTGAGTATACAACGACAACAACAACAGGCAGAATTAGTTAATGGAAAGCGTGTAAAATAGTTGTGGGACATGAAACATGTTTTTGCATGTGAAAATAAATCGTATTGGATAACTTTAAAGCATTCAATATCTGCTCCCCGGTAGGCAGCGGTGTGCCATCACGTTCCCTTTCAAGTCGGGCTCGAACAGACCCACAATGAATGCACCGCGCGTTGTGAAGGGGCCGGTGTTGCATGGACCCTGTTCAATTTGACGTGCGCAGACACGAGGGAGTCATCGTCATGGGTTCATCGCCATTAACTATTTTCATGGAACTGAACTCTTTTTATTTTTTATTTTACCGAGTAAAGCCCACTGAGCTATGTAGCTTCTTTTTCAGAAGCGACCTGGCCACAAATGATAACGCAACGAAGTGGCTTATCACGTGGAAATGTATAACGGCCGAATACTCTGAACGCGTGATGTGATTGTAAATGTGGAGGGGGAGAAACCTGCAGGACCCTGAGAAAAATCCACGCTGCCACGGGGAGAACGACACAAGCTCCAAACATAGAGGCGTCGTGTCGTGTATACCAGGCGAGGTAGTTAACATCTCGCCACCGTGGCACCCCGGGGCGGTAAGGGTGCCTCACTGGGCACTTGCACGGTGCAGTAACGGCAGACTCTCTGAGCTGCGAATTTGCTGCCAGTTGTGGTGTGGGGCATTGTCAATCGCAGAGCTTCCTGTGGCTGTATTCCAAAATATTATCGGTAAGAACCTTGTGTACAGGGCTTAAGACTGCTGTTTTTGTGTTTGCCATGCTCAGCTGGCTTTGCTCTCGGTTTGTTTATTTGCCGACACGTGTCCCCGCGTGCGACCGTGTCGCCGTCTGTGAGCGCCGTGTCACTCCCCGCGCCGTGGTGCCTCTGCTTCTCCACCCCCTCCGCAGGTCCCTGCTCACCCAATCCGTGCCACAACTCCGGGGAGTGTCACGTCAGCCTGGCTCCGAGGGGCGACGCCTTCGCCGACTACGCGTGCGAGTGCCCACGCGGATTCGATGGCATTCACTGTCAACACAGTAAGTGCGATTTCGCAACACCAGTTCTTCTTCACCTTCTACCGCAGCCTTTGGTTCTCAGAAAGGGCATCGCGCACCCCCCACGGGTGCACGTGCACCCCAGGTTAAGAGCCACCGCACTACACCGATGCGCCGTCCGTGTCGACGCCGCTGCAGGCGCAGGTTCACGCAGCCAGCCGAGGCTTGTGTGGCTCCTCCTAGATTGCCTGGCCATCGAAATGAAGACGGTGGTGGTCACTGCGTCGCACGCTTTCAGGTGCGCCCCTGCGGCCGTCCGGAACCGCGCTTCTTTCCGATATTAGGAAGCCACTGGATGCGTGCACTTTAAATAATCTGGATTGAAAACTCATTCCTTTAGAACTGATTTTGTTGTGGTTAGTTTGTCCTCCTTTCCCCGCACCTCCGATTAGCACGATTAGCTACGTACGGCGTGAAAGAAGTTCAACACACGTACATAGATGACTGTGACTCGCATTCTGCTGCAACTGCTGCTGACGGTCCATCGATGCTACCGCTGCATTATGAGGTGGGCGGGTGGCGTGGGGCTCGCAGGGCCGAGTCCACCACGAACCTCTCCGTCGGCTCGAGCGCTATCCACACACCGCCTATGAAGCGATCTCTGTAAGCCGCACTCGGCGAGAGAGTGCGGGGTCACCACGAGCAGAGCACGTGGGTGGCGCGGTCGGTGAACGCTGCTCGCGACGACCCTTGCGCCCTCTCGTTTCTGAACAATTGTGACAGCAAAGAAAGATCTTTTTAAAATGTATTCAAATACTTTCAGCGCCCTCTCAAACGTTTCCTTTAATCGCCCCTCGCCCCGCTAAAATAATATTTTGACCACGGCCTGCCACGCCGTGGTCTTGGAGCGTGCTCGGCTTGTGGCGGTGCGCTCGTGGTGATGGGGGTCACCTGACGGTGTCGCGCGGGGGGGGGGGGGGGGGCCGCTACGCCGCGGCCAGGTGGCCCGGCGACCGGCGACGCGGCACGAGGAGCGCCGCCAACGCGGCTCTCCGCGGCTGGGCCAGCGGCCGGCATTGGCTGTCGTCTCCACAGATGAAATGATAAAACAACGTTGGCTTTCTGACCCTTGCCACCATCAACAACGGGAGTGTATGTCGAATTTACTTGGCGCCATACGTAGCCAGCCGTGCTAATCGGTAAGTGCGTGGGGGGGGGACGACGACAATACTAGCCACAGAAGTAGTTTTAAACAGCTGAGTTTTAAATCTAGATGATTTAAAAATGCATCGCTCCAGTGACTTCCTCAACGGAATTACTGGAACACCTGACCGGTGTTAGTGTTGTGGCCGGTATGTTCCCGGGCAGCACTGCAACACCACCCACGTGAAGGGCTGTGGCTCTTTACCTGCGATGTCATCGCGCGCGTGCTTGTTGGTCGTGAGACTTCATTGTTTCCTTATTCACGAGACACGTAAGCCAACTTGCACGGTTGCACGTGAAGATCCTGGCACTGGATCCCACGACGGTTAATACGTCACTCGGTTTGCCTACAGTGTGTGCGTGTGTTATAAGTGATTAATTAATAGCGAATTAAGACAATGATTAATATTGGTTCATCTACTACTGGGGAAAGTGGATGCATCAACATGTCCATTTGCATCATCTTCTAGCCGTACAATTCACGGTTGAGACGTTACTTATTACATGAAGCAAGCGAAAGGCTGTGAGTTTATATCCCCACCCAGTGCTAAATCATCTTTATCTCGCTCTCAGAGTTAAAATAAATACCGTTTTGTGTACAATACTAATTAATGACCAAAAAAAATACACAAATAATATTCTACTGCTTACCAAAGGATTAGCAAGGGTTTCTTATCAGACGCGATGAATACAGTACCAGTGAATCAATCGCTGCTGTTAAAAGTACGATGGTAAAACATTTACCGAAAGTACACTTAACTTGCTAAAAATCTATGGACAAAACATCGTCACGTAAGATCCCCTTGTTTTGCATTCGCTGGAACGGAGCCATAATCCGTTCCTCGTGTCGGTCTGAAAGCCTACTAAGGTTTCTTGGAACTTGTATCTCAAGCCTCAAGTTGGCCTCGTGAGCTCCCTCATTGCTTACCCAATGACACATCACATTCAGATAAAAACAAACTAATTTCTTTAAAACTGCCTTTTTTGTGGTTTAATTTGTTGTCCTTCCTCCACGCACACCCCCGATTGGGACGGTTGGCTACGTACGGTGCGAAAGAAGTTCAACACGCGTGCTTCTCAGTGGGGCACCTGGGTCTGTCCCGTGTCCTTCTGCCAGCCAGCGAGCCTTCGACACTTCACGTTGACTCAAAGTGCACCTGGCCTGGCACAGGCACCGTGGTGACTTAGAGGGCGCATGGCGAGATGTTGATGATTGTGCGTCTGGTGTAGGTCACCCACCCTCTTCGTGTGCCGTGCCGGCCTTTTATAGGTGCTCGCTAACAGCACTTGCCCCTACAGTCTATTAAGGCTACACGGGGGATCTTTGTTTTTGTCTTTGTTTTTTTTGTGTGTCTGAGAGAGATTGTGTGCGCGAGCGAGAATGTGAGTGCGTGTCCGTGGGAGTGTGATGCGTGTACCTCTCCGTAGCGCAGTGGGGGTGTTCGGCCAAGCGGCTCCGCGCTGTTGCCAGCCACGGGCCCCATGAGAGGGGGAACGAGGCTCCAGAACCCAGCGGGTTCTTCTTAACCTTTTACTGCAAACCTTGCAACCCCTTTGGTTCTCAATCCTAAAAAAAAAAGTACAATGTTAATAAACACATCGGGGTTTGATGAAACCAAGTAAGGTGTAACTTCGGTGCCCGTGCTCAGTTTGTGTTTTCGATGATTCGCCTTCGAAAAAAAACAAAAATCTGGCCACGTGTCGCTGCCCCCAGAAAGGGCGTCTCGCAGGGGCTGCAGCAGCGTGCAGCCCAGGTGCAGAAGGTCCGCTGGCGTGGAGAGAGACGGCGACGGGATGCGAGCGCGTGACTCATTCCGTCGTGGCCCGCCGTGGCCTGCCGTGCACAATGAGAGTACTGTCGAGTCAAAACCAAACTTTGTGAGTCACGAAAATAGCTTTCCGAGCCACGTCTTCAAAGAGTGCTTGGCCGCTGATATCAATATCCACGCGATGATGGTAAGCCGCTCCGTTGCGCTATCGCAAATGATGGCCACGTCGCTACCGATAAATAATCTAATAGCTCAGTGGGTCTTACCTGGGGAAGTAAAAACGTTAAGTTACGTGTGGCAAAGCGGTAACTGGGTTTTTTGTTGACTGTATTCCTGCACTTGCTGATTCTAACTACCACCCCTAGGTCTTATAGCCTCTGGTTTATTGCCTTCTTGTGTGGCTCTGCTATTAGCAGTGACCAATGCCGGGTCTGCTGCTCCACGCCGTGTGGTGTCACGGCACCCTCCATAGGTGATCGCCAACAACAACGATCTCTCCCCAACAGTCAAACGGTGGGAAAGCCTTTTAATGTTTAGTTTGTTGGCCTGCCCCCGCACCTTGTATAGCCTGTAACAGACAATACAAGAGTAGCACAAAGACAAAGATCCCCCGTGTAGCCTGTAACAGGCTGTTGGGGCAAGTGCTGTTAACGAGTAGCACAAAGACAAATATCCCCCGTATAGCCTGTAACAGACTGTTGGGGCAAGTGCTGTTAGCGAGTAGCACAAAGACAAAGATCCCCCGTGTAGCCTGTAACAGGCTGTTGGGGCAAGTGCTGTTAGTGAGCAGCACAAAGACAGATCCCCCGTGTAGCCTGTAACAGACTGTTGGGGCAAGTGCTGTTAGCGAGTTGCACAAAGACAAAGATCCCCGTATAGCTTGGAACAGACTTGGGGCAAGTGCTGTTAGCGAGTAGCACAAAGACAAAGATCCCCCGTATAGCCTGTAACAGACTGTTGGGGCAAGTGCTGTTAGCGAGTTGCACAAAGACAAATATCCCCCGTATAGCCTGTAACAGACTGTTGGGGCAAGTGCTGTGTAGCGAGCACCTATGAAGGCCGAGCACTGTGACACACGACGGGGTGGGAGGCCACATAAACAACACTGCCGTCATTTCTCAACCGGAGCCGCTCAAAGACTGTGCCACTGTATTTTTCACAAAGGAAGTGTGACCACAAAAAAAATCTATATTCCAGAGAGCCGAGATGAATCGCGTTCCAAATTACCCCGTACATTAAAGCCGGAGCGGAAATATGTTTTCCTGGCAAATGCTGGCACGCGGCCGCATTGGCGTCTAGACGACTGTGTCAGAGAGGAGGAGGAGGAATGACTCATCGTCATCGTCATCATCATCAGATCCATCTGCAAGCAATACGGTGTCGAGGGTGTTGGTGGGGTTCATAATCCCCGCAGCGATGTCTCTCAGCAGTCGGGCTTTTGGCTTTCCCGTAAAGACGGTTCGCTTGAGACACGACGTGGTTTTTTTTTTCTTGGAGAAATATTTCAGCTCCGTCGACACCAACCACGCCGCCGTTCAGCAGTTACATTCCTGCGCAATGTCGAACTGCCACTGCCACCGCCACCGCCACTACCACCGCTAAATGTGTTTGTGAGCTGATTCAAGAACAATTGGTGCGGTGTTAATCGCCTGCACACCACATGACCGTTTAAAGAGTTCAGCCGTGTTGGGTGGTGAAGGGACTTGATGTGACCTCGTGCAGAAATTAAATTAATTTGCGACTTGGCCTCTGTCCTGTGTTTACCTTCATATTAACACGGATGGCTACGTACGGTGCAAAACAAGTTCTGAAACTAAACAATTTTGATATTACCAGGTAAGGCCCACCGAGCTCTTTTTCAGAAACGACCTAGCCACGAATGAAAGGCCGACGAAGCGGCTCATCGGTGTACATTCCTAGCAGCAGCCGAATACTCCGAACGCACGTTGATGCATACACACAACATCAGCGTCAAGCGCCGAGCGTGGCCCAGGAGCCGAGCACGACGGCACGGCGTTTTTTGCCATGAGCCCGTGCCACTCCGCGGCCGCCGATTTTTTTTTTGTATTAATGCCACTCCGTCTTTTTGTCGTCGTCGCCAGACATCAACGAGTGCTCGCTGAGCCCGTGCCGGAACGGGGGCATCTGCACGGACCTGGACGCGGACTACTCCTGCGAGTGCACCGGCGAATTCATGGGCAAAGACTGTCACCTGCGTGAGTGGGACGTCAGCTGCGAGTGGGGCGCCGATTGTGAGGTTGGGCGGGGGGGGGGGTGTTTGGGATCTTCGCGAACGCTCGCTCGTTTGCCTGTTCATTTGCTCGTTCACTCGGTCGCTCTCTCGTTCTGTGGCCTCGAACCGGAAGAGTTCCGCAAACAGGAGGTGCGTGCGCTGTGTTAGCGAGAGCCCGTGAAGGCCGGCACGGCACACCCATGCGGTGATGTGGCCGGGTGCCACGCTCGACCACCTTTCTCTCCCCGGTCTTGATGATTACCCCCTGCAACAGGCACTTATTTTAAGGTCTATCTAGCCGGAGGCCGAGTACTGCTTTTAGACATTCGCCACTGATGGTGGCTTCGCAATGAGAATCGATTGGCAGGTTAGTAGCGGCGACCGCTCCCTGCGCGACCGCTCTCTGCACGCGCACGCTGGTTCACGTGGTAGGCTGCTGGTCCCCGCTGGGCCTGGAAGGAGGAGACATCCGGGACGATCAAATCACGGCGTCGTCGCTGCTCGTCGCGGTCATGGGCCTGCAGCGGTGGCTGCCCTCCCTCGCGCGCCTCAACCGCGCCGGCATCGTCAACGCGTGGACGCCCGCGCAGAGAGACTCGCAGCCCTGGATACAGGTACCCGGCTGGACGCAGAAGGCCCCAATTCATTTTTTTACGTTATTTTATTTTATTGCTATTTATATATTTTTTTAAATGACACATCAACGATGTGCTTAATGCAGAGGTGGCGACGATTTGTCGGCAGGTGAACCTGGAGAGGCGGCTGCGAGTGACGGGCGTGGTGACGCAGGGCGCGAGCCGGTTCGGCAGCGCCGAGTACGTGCGCACGTTCAAGCTGGCGCACAGCGGCGACGGGCGCAACTGGACGGTGTACCGGGACGCGGCAACGGGCCGAGACAAGGTGGTGCACCTCGCCCACGCTGCCAGCGCGCGACACTTGTAACCAAAATCCATTTCCTATTTGACCAGGTAAGGCCCCACTGACCTGTGTAGCTCTTTTTTTCAGAAGCGACCACCTGGGCCCATCGCAAATGATGGCTAAACAAAGTGGCTCATCACGTGGAAATGTAGAGCAGGCAAATAATCTAAACGCGTGATGTTGACGCCTAAATGTGGAGGGAAAAACCGGATGACCCGGAGAACATGCAGACTCCAAATGTACAGGTGTCGGAGTCGGGATCGAACCTACGTCCTCCCGTATACCCGGCAAGGTAGTTAACATCTCACCACCGCGGCGAGATATTAGCCCTACCAACACCGAGCTCATTTTATAAATGGAGTAACGCCTTCCTGGCCTCGTTTCTTAATGCGCGACGCAAAGCAGATTCGTGTACAGGGTAGGTGGAGGCTAAGGCTGAGATGCGACCGATAGGGAGAAAGAACGTAGGATGCAATGTATGTGGGGATGAGGCGGCGCAAATCAGGTGGCGGTGCTGGTAATAAAGTGATGACGTATTCGCAAAAAGGGGGGTGACGTTAATCAGGGTGTTACTGCATCCAAAAAATCTGAGCTGCCGCAGCGGTGCAGTAGTCGGCAGCGTACCGGTCCTGGCGATCCAGAAGTCGCCGGGTATGATGCCATCTTCTGGTGGGGCAGCTGACAAAGTGGGAGCGGGTTTCTCAAATTCTCAAATATCCCCGCTTCCATTACATCCAGCAGTATGAATGGGTTCACCGCTAATCTGGTCGTGGAAGAGTAGACCAAACACACGATAGATTTCACTTTAGTGGAGGCATTTCCATCGGCAGTGGCGTGGGCGAGCAATTGCAGGGGCGTACTTTCTGAATTTTTGAAAATTATTTTCACTTTTTTTTTTTTTTCAGCAAGCGGGGATGGCTAGGGTAAGGAATGTGGAACCGAGTGGACGAATGTTTCTGGAAACGATGGAACACGTAGACCTAGTTCAGCACGGGTCCACCTCTCAAGTGACCACCGCTTCCAGATAACGCTTGAAATCGAGCGACAACCTAACGCGTGGATGTCCGCAGGTGTTCCTGGGCAACCAGGACAATGGCTCCCCGCGGTCGAACACGCTCAGTCCCCCGATCGTGGCCTCGCTCGTCCGCCTCATGCCGCTGACGTGCCGCAGGCGCTGCACCCTGCGCATGGAGCTGCTGGGCTGCGAGACCAACGGTAACGCGGCCGGCTCGCCCATTTGCCCGCTCGCCCTGGGACGCCGTTGCCCCGGCCGCTGCCGCTCGTTTAAAAAAAGCCAACCTCGGGGCCCCCCAAAACGCGTCGTTCTAACGGCTGTCCGCGTTGCTTGTGACGCCGTGACGCCGTGACGCCGTGACGCCGTGACGCCGTGACGCCGTGACGCCGTGACGCCGTGACGCCGTGACGCCGTGACGCCGTGACGCGTCTTGCGCACGTTCTCTCAACGAGCGGAGGGGCAGGGAGGTCGTCTCCATTTGCCCGTCCTGACCGAAAGCAGTGGTGGAGCTATTCAAGGATTGACCTCCCATTTGAGTGGAGTGTAGCTGTGGCCACTGGTAGCTGTAGGGGTCCTTTTAAGTAAATAAATAAATAATATGCGTTACTTTTTAAAATAAATAGATGAAAACGAGAACTGCACGCGCCCTAAATGCTGTGCACGTGTGTCGTTTGTGTTTGTTTTGTGTTGATCCACACCTTCATTTGAAGCTTTCATGACAGCAGGAATCCATACTCTTTGATTCTTTCGGTAAAGTCACATAGGTAGAAAATAAAAAAAACAAGAAATTGCATTTTGATTTAAAGCTTTCGTGACTGCAGGGATTCATATTTTTGGTTCTTCCCTTCTACGTGACTTTACCGAAAGAACCAAGAATATATAAAATTACATATCACGACATTTTGATCGCAACACAAGCGGTCGTCCTCATGCAGAAAAAAAATAATCCAGCAGTAGAACTGCTGAACCAGTGCGAGAGCTGTTACAACAAGAGGTTATTTAAGTGGCGATGGGCAAGCAAGCATGGTCTGAGCTGGTACTAAATTCAGCTCACTTTGTTTCTCTAATCAAGGACATTTCACTGTCTCCAGATTATTTGCTTGTCAGCTTCGATGTAATCTCTCTGTTCACCAAGGTACCTGTACCTGACACCATATCAATCATTGAAGACTTGGTCCAACAAGGACTGAATCCTGATGTACCAACTTTGGTGAGGCACTGCCGTACCAACACTTACTTCATCTGGAATGGTACATTCTACAAACAAAATGAAGATACCCTATGGGTTTGCCCTTATCACCAGTGGTAGCGAATGTTTTCATGGAGAAATTTGAAACAGATGCCATCCTGACATCCGCCCTACATCCTTCCCTGTGGAAGAGATACATAGATGACACTTTCATCATCTGGCCACGTGGCCAGCCAGCACTGAACTAGTTTTTCAACCACATCATTTCCATACACCCATCCATCAAATTCACCATGGAAGTGGAAAACGATGACAAGCTACCATTCCTGGATGTGTTGATCGAGAAGAGGCCTTATGGGTCATTGGGACATTCCGTCTACAGGAAAGCCACCCACACGGATTCTTATCTAAAGCCTGACTCCCACCACCATCCGGCCCAGAAGAACTCCCTCATCAAAACACTACACCATAGGGCCCGCTACATCTCCGACCAGCGCCACCTAGCCAGTGAACTGGAGCACGTACACCAAGCCCTCACGATGAATGGATACTCAGACCGCACAATCTGCAAGGCTGTATCCACAACCATGAGGAGACAACCATCTGAGGACCAAAAGAAAACCATCACTTTGCCATACAGCAAAAAGATTTCCAAAATCTTAAACAAACACAAGATCCAGGTCCAATTCAATACAGTACACAAAATCCGTGACTTTTATCCCATCTGTGAACGATGTCATTCCTGACATGCAATACTCTGGTGTCTACAAACTAAGTTGTGTCTGCGGCAGCAGTTACATTGGGGAAACAAAACGACATGTCTCGGGCCGTGTTCGCGGACAGAAGGCAGATTTGAAACACGGCAGAACCAATACCTCTGCAGTGGCTGATCATTGTTATAAGGCAGTGGGCTTCCACGATATTGTTTTTTTCCGAGACCAAGGTACTCTGCAAACCTTCGGGCTACCATCAAAGATTTGTCCATGAAGCCATCCAGATATATAAACACAGAGACGATTTCAACCGAGAAGATGGGTACAAACTGAGCAATCATTGGAAGGACGTTATCAACCAAGCAAAGTCGCAACTTGCTGTGGGGCTTCCATTCTTCCCTGCCGTTTGGCTGTTGTCTCCGACTTTGAGTTGCATTGCCCTGTTAGGTGCCTCTGCATTAACGAGCTGGGGTCTCACTAACATGGCCACCTCTGCTCCCTCAGCCTCGATGTATCGATGGTTCTGGCTGTGTGATGGGCTTTGTGTCTCACTGGCGCGACCACCGTTGGTGGTTCTCTTGCGTGGACGCGCTTGCCTCTCACAGCGCAATTGGCAGTGCCGCAGCTTGTGTTACACATAGATATGCCATTAACTTGCTAATCTCCCTGCCTAATATCTCCCATCAACATAGTGCTAATCTCCCATTAACACTGCTGTGGTGTGCATATGCGGGGGCGATACTCTTATGTAGCAACGGAAGCTCATTTCATGCTAATCTCTCTCCCTAATCTCCCCCATTAACACAACTGACGTGCTTACGTCCGGGGATAAAATACCTTTCCAGCTCAAACCCCGCTTGCTTGCCCATCGCCACATAAATAACCTCCTTGTTGTAACAGCTCTCTCGCTTGGTTCAGCAGTTCCACTGCTGGATTAATTTTTTTCCGCCTGAGGACGACCGCTTGTGTTGTGATCGAAACATCGTGATAGATTATTTTTTGTTTTATTTTATTTTTCCACCTACATGACTTTACCGAAAGAACCAAAGAGTATCGATCCACACCCTGGACACCTTTGCAAATGAGATGTTCCATCTCAAGCGATTTGGTGAAATATGTTAGCAGAAAATAATTTCAACAACAAAAAAACCGTTGAAACCTCATCCAATTTCTGGACGAAACAGCTGTACGCGACGATTATGCATGTACGTTGTACGTATTTTGATTTTTTTTTCGCACCGAGCATAGCCAACGGTGCTAATCGGAGGTGCGCGACTATTTTAAGGGCGACTTGGTTGCGCGAATTATCGCCCGGGTGCGGGGCCCTGCTTGTGAGGCTTCCCACAGTGACCGCCTCGCCTCGTGTGCGTGGTGCTGCCATTGCTACCGCTGCTCCTACCCTCTGCAGGCTGCTCCGAGCCGCTGGGCTTGAAGTCGGGGCTCGTTGGCGACACGCAGATCTCGGCGTCGAGCGTCTTCCAGACCCTGGGGCTGCCCTGCTGGACGTGGGAGCCGCACCTGGCGCGCCTCGACCGCCAGGGCCGCATCAACGCCTGGTCGGCCGCCAAGGGGGACCCCAACCAATGGCTGCAGGTGTGGGTGCTCGAGGCGTCTAGATCACGATGTTTGTATCTTTAACTTATTTCGCACCGTACGTAGCCAACCGCGCTAATCGGAGGTGCAGGGGGAAGGATGACAAACTAAACACAAAGCATCTTCTTTGGTTCTTTCGGTAAAGTCACGTAGAATGAGAATAAAATAATAAATTGATAAAATAAAATAACACAATAATATTCTCACGACGTTTCGGCCACAACACAAGCGGCCTTCATCAGGTGAAGGGAGCGAGACTGTCTGGAGGACAGCGCTGGAGTGAGAGAGCCACGTTCAGATCACGGCTTTTAAGCTGTGTGAGAGGAACAAAGAGCCTTGACGAAGGAATTAGCATAAAATTTAGCATTGAAAAGGCTGAATGATTAGCTTGTGACTGGTCACAGAAATAGCTATGTTAAAAGTTAAAGCATACACATCCGCAGAGGCACCCATTGTTAAAAGGAATTAGCATAGAATTTAGCATTGAAATAGCTAAATTAAGGCATTCGCTTGTAACTGCTACAGAAATAGTTACGTTGAAGTCAGAGCATACACATTCACCGAGGCACTTAGTACAAATCAAAACAGGAGAATTTAGCATTGAAATAACTAGGCGAATTTAGCATTGAAATAACTGGGTGATTTGCTAGTGACTGGTCACAGAAATGACTACAAATCTGAGCTATTCACAGTACTATATAGTGAACCAATAAAAACTAAAATATAAATTACCTTAATGTTATCAATAAACTCTATATTCTCCAATCAGCTAAGCTACCAACCATAAGTCGTTATATATCACATTTTTTCGCCATATAGCATTGTGATATATAACGACTTATGGTTGGTAGCTTAGCTGATTGGAGAATATAGAGTTTATTGATAACATGAAGGTAATTTATATTTTAGTTTTTATTGGTTCACTATATAGTACTGTGAATAGCTCAGATGTGTAGGCATTTCTGTGACCAGTCACTAGCAAATCACCCAGTTATTTCAATGCTAAATTCGCCTAGTTATTTCAATGCTAAATTCTCCTGTTTTGATTTGTACTAAGTGCCTTGGTGAATGTGTATGCTCTGACTTCAACGTAACTATTTCTGTAGCAGTTACAAGCGAATGCCTTAATTTAGCTATTTCAATGCTAAATTCTATGCTAATTCCTTTTAACAATGGGTGCCTCTGCGGATGTGTATGCTTTAACTTTTAACATAGCTATTTCTGTGACCAGTCACAAGCTAATCATTCAGCCTTTTCAATGCTAAATTTTATGCTAATTCCTTCGTCAAGGCTCTTTGCTCCTCTCACACAGCTTAAAAGCCGTGATCTGAACGTGGCTCTCTCACTCCAGCGCTGTCTTACCAGACAGTCTCGCTCCCTTCACCTGATGAAGGCCGCTTGTGTTGTGGCCGAAACGTCGTGAGAATATTATTGTGTTATTTTATTTTATCAATTTATTATTTTATTCTCATTCTACGTGACTTTACCGAAAGAACCAAAGAAGATGAATCATTGCAGTCACGAAAGCTTTAAATCGAAATTTAAACACAAAGCAGTTCTAAAGGAATTAGTTTTCAATCTAGGTGATTTAAAAGTGCATAGATCCAGTGGCTTCCTAATATCCGGAAGGAAGAGCGTTCAAGACGGCCGCAGAAATGCATCTGACCGTCTTTGTTCGATGGCCAGCTGCCGCAAGGAAGACCGCACTTTACGTGATGGTTTGTGCTCCTTGACGAGATCAGCAAAGTGATGTTTACCTTTCTTATACTTTGCACTCCTATCGTGTTTTTCTATTGTTGTTGTAACGATCTGACCCCGTGCCCCTACACCTCGTCGGATTTCTCCTCCCAGTATAAATAAACATTCTGATCAAGTCAGTGTAGCCAATCGACACGGCTCCTGTCGGATCGCACTGCTGCCGTCACCCCACTGCCTTCTCCTCCGCCGCCTGCAGATCGACCTGGGCGAGGCTCGCAAGATCACGGGCATCGTGACGCAGGGAGCTCGCGACCTGGGTCACATGCAGTTCGTGCGCTCGTACCGCGTGGCGTCCAGCGAGGACGGCGCCACGTGGACCGTCTACAAGGACGACGAGACGCGGCGGGACAAGGTGAGGGAGCGGCACAGCGGCCCGGGCGGGGAGAGCGGATCCCGAGGCTCCAGCCCGCCGGCCAACCTGGATAATCTAAACCTAAACTAGTTTTTATTTGACCAGGTGAGGCCCCCACCAAGCGATGTAGCTGTTTTTCAGAAGCGACGTGGTCACAAACGATAGCTCAACGAAGTGGCTTATCATCGTGTGGAAATTCATAGCGTAAACAACAACAAAAACCTTTAAAGAGCAGGCAATGCGTGTGAATACGAGACGGTGGGGGTCCTTAATAAACAACGGTCACAAAGCGGTCCTCAAAAAGCCGCCGCATGCGGTGGCTCCGGAGCCACAGGTTGCCCCGCCCCTGCTCTGGACGCGTGGACGTCGATCCTTCTCAATGTGGAGGGAGGGGGGGCAACCGGAGGACCCGGAGAAAAATCCTCGTGACCACGGCGTTGCGATGAGCGTTGCCAAAGAGACGCCGCTGCGTTCGCTCTAGACGCAGCTGCAGGCTGACGGGCGAGACTGCACAAACCCATAAGAGCAAAGCGGCGCCGTCTGGCGATGAGTCTGCGCATGACATTCGCGGACTCGGCGCCATAAGGTTGACGAGCGTGAGCACAACACGCGCACACTCGTCGCCAAACGACTCGGCGTCGGTAGCAGTCATTAGACGGTCGTAGATACGAGTTTTTGGTCGTTACTGCGGGGGTCTTAGTGACTATAAGAAAGGTCGTAAAAGCAGCGGCGGGGGGGGGGAGACGCAAGTGACCTGTACGTACGTTGAACTTCTATTGCACCGCACGTAGCCAACCGCGTGGGCATTCGGAGGCGACGACAGAAGCGCACGTGTTGTTTTGTGTGCGTGTGTTTTTTTTTTTTTACAGATCTTTGCTGGAAATTACGACAACAACAGTCACAAGAAGAACATGTTCAACCCGCCCATAATCGCGCGCTACGTGCGAGTGCTCCCCTACTCGTGGTATCGGCGCATCACCTTGCGAGTGGAGCTCATCGGCTGCGACTTCTGACGCGGCAACGGCGGTGGCGATGCAGCAGCCGCCGCTGCGCGGCGTTCCCATCCTATTAGTTCATCCGCTCGCGCGATCACCCGCGTGGCCTCAAGTCCGACACGTTCAAGTTCGCCCACTGCGGGAGGGTTAGGGTGGGGATAAGCGTTGGGGGGGGTTCGTACGACGACGGTGATGGTGAAGCTGGAAGAAAAAGCAGTGGCTCTGAGATGTTGGGGATAACGTTGGGATCGCCCCTCATGGTCACACGAACGTAAAGTTGGTGTGGAAATGTTATCGGTAGATTTCGGATAAGCAGTGAGCTTTTGATAACACTGATGCAAGGGTTGTGGTCATATTTTTAGATTTAAAGCTTTCGTGCCTGCAGGGATTCATCTTCTTGGTTCTTTCGGTAAAGTCACGCAGAATGGAAATAAAATAATAAAAATAAAACGTAATAATATAAAATTCTCACGACGTTTCGGCCACAACACAAGTAGCCTTCTTCAGGTGAAGAAACAGAACTGTCGGGACGACAATGCTTCAATGAACACTGCTAAGATTTGCAGCGTCTTTTAAGCTGGGTGGGAGGAGCAGAGCGCCTTGACAAAGGAGTTTACATATCAACAGAATAATTTAGCATTGAAATAGCTGTGTTAAAGTGTTGGATTAGCAGGGTGTTAAAGTCAGAAATTAGCATGTAACTGGGAGATTAGCATGATGTTAATGTGAGGGATTAGCATGTAACTGGTCACGGAAGTAGCTATGTTAAAGTCAGAGTTTACATATCAACAGAGGCATTTAGTATGTTGATGCTAAAGAACTGCAACTGCCCAACTATCATACAATAAGCCGATGTGAAAGAACTAAGTATAAACTACATCAATATAATAAATGTACTTAATATATTCTTCAATAAGTTGAGCTGTTAACATAAAGTAACTGGGTATACATTACACTATATAATGAATACCATATAGTAAACTGATAAAAAATTGAAATATAAACTACATCAATGTCATCAATAAACTCAATATACTCTCCAATCAGCTGAGCTACTAACAATAAGTCGTTATACATTACAATTCTTATGTTGATATGTAAACTCCTTTGTCAAGGTGCTCTGCTCCTCCCACCCAGCTTAAAAGACGCTGCCAAGCTTAGCAGTGTTCATTGAAGCGCTGTCGTCCCGACAGTTCTGTTCCTTCACCTGAAGGCTACTTGTGTTGTGGCCGAAACGTCGTGATAATTTTATTTTATTGTTTTATTATTTAATTTCCATTCTACGTAACTTTACCGAAAGAACCAAGAAGATTGGGGTCATATTTGCATTGGAGTAACTAAGGTAAGTGTCACGAGTGAAAAAAATTAATTGGGATGTTAAGTGGTCAAGATGGGAGTAGTTATGATTTAAGATGAGTGTTGCGATTTTAAACATGAGGCGTCTTTACTTTATATGAGACTATGGGTCTTAAACAGTTACACTTCTGGTATTTGAGTAATGTCCGAGCAAGCGGAAGTGAAACGCAATGCAACAAACGTGGACGCGAATCCAGTGAGTGTATAGAGTTGTCACCCATTATTAAACGATTTGTATATGAACAGCGGTCTGGATTGCGCGAGTGAAAAAATTGTTTTATTCCCCTTGCGTACGCATATCTCCTTCAACCTGAAACCTCGAGACATCTTCAGCGGCACAGAGGGCAGAGTCGTTCGAAACGATCGCAGCGGAGATTTGGCTGAGCACCTGGGGGTCTCGAATCTCCACGCGAGACGCACGGAGGTTTAGAGGGATGAGACTCGTGTGATGGAATCGTCTGTGTGCACGCGCGTGTGTGTGAAGGTGGGGAACTGTAGCGTTAGCGGTTAGCGCCCCGCACTACGAACCTAGCGACCCGAGTTCGATTCCCGCTCACGACCAACACCAGTGACGATTATCTGAACCGGTCCTGGGTCTCCCCTAGGCCGACTCAGCCTCAAATTAGTGCCTGGTGGGATGCCTAAAAATGTTGCCACAAAGGAGACAAAGGCGGCCGGGCGTGGTGCTGGCCACCCACCCCCTCTTGTGCCGTGTCGGCCTTCATAGGTGCTCCCTAACAGCACTTGCCCCGACAGTCTGTTAAGGCTATGCGGGGGATCTTTGTCTTTTGTTGTCTTTGAAGGGGAGTGGTCGTGTAATGGTTAGTGCACTGTGCTTCGAACCTGGCGGTCCGAGTTCGATTCCCTCTCGCATCCAACATCGGTGACACATCTGAACTGGTCCTGGGCCTCCCCTCGTGCAGCGCTTTGTCGGCTATCCGGTGGATCTTCGTATTTGTTGTTTTATCGACATGGGTCAAACAGCTGTTTCATTACATCGTAATAATGGATGATTGCCGAGTGGACGCTGTGTGTAGTGCAACAGAACGCACCTGAGACCACAACAGCAGCCGAATGCGTTGGAATGCTCCGGAGCATAGATTGCGAGCCCATGGTAAAATCCATCACCGCAGTGGAAAGCGTGAAACCCATTCCCCCAGGATGTTGTGGCAATGAGTAGCTCGGCCACCTGCGCCACTGGCCAGACGAGTGTGGCAGAATGCGCGTGGTCGCAACGTCTCGCTGCTCGATTGAGTGCGTGTGGGACGAGTTCGGAGTGCATGTGGGACAAGTTCGGAGTGCATGTGGGACGAGTTCGCTGTGCCCCACTCAACAGTTCTGAGCCCGCGTCGACATTCCCCACTTGGCCAGTGCCGGATTATCCTCGTAGCAAAAGTAGCTACACGTGTGTAGTAGCTGCTACGCGTGTAGTAGCTGCTACATGCTACTACACGTGTACTAGCTACGGGCCCCGCACTTTCAAGGCCCCCCCGCTAAATGCTTCCAAGCTATCAATTCCGGTTCAGTGATTCTGCACTTGCTCTATTACTATAGTACTATACCGCCTAAAACTTTTATTAACGACTGGGTGTTAAGGTTAACGATTTGTCGTATTATCTGACTGTATGGCAAATTAAAAAATACAATTACTTTACTGTGCAAGTTAAAAATTCGTATTTGAATATTTACGGTTTTTTTTATTTTATTTAGGGCCCCTTTATAACATATGCTACAGGCCCCGCACTAGCTTAATCCGGCAATGCACGTGGCCAGACAAAGTGCTGGAACTTACAAACGGCCGAACCGACGTGCTGGGGCACCTTGGCAGCTGTTTTTAAATAACTGCAAGGTTGGGAGGCCGTTCGACCCCCCGTGTGTGACCCTTGAACGTGTCGCGAGACGTCGTGTTGGGCCGCTTCACTCGCCGCACGCCACCGCTCGCATCACGATGTGCCTATTTTTTTTTTACTTTAATTTGTACCAAAAGAGTTGGGTCTTTGCGGTTCATTGAACGCTCCAGTACCGAGCAGTTCTTCAAAGTCTTAGTTCTTGAGGTTTTTTTGCTGGCCAAGTTGTCTTTGACGAAAGAGCTGTCCATCTCAATTGGCTTACTCGGGAAATAACCTTCTGGACTTCTTCTTCTTCTGAACTTCTTGCCCACATATTCAAAAAAGCTATCGAGCGTACTGCATATTTATTGTGAAGGAGTGTATGGTTAATGTCACACGGCGTGTTCATTCGTATGTCGTGATCCGCTACGTTTAAAACGTGAAAGTGCCCAGCTTTTTTTTTATTAAGGGCATTTTTGGGGATTGCAACAGATCGCAAGTTGACGTCGAGATTTGGTATCCATTCGACTGCCTCAGATGTCACCCAGCGGTCACAAACTGCTTTGTGTCCGCTGGGGATTCTCAACCTTTTTTTTTGTGTGGGCCCCCTGATCAAAACCACGGATCTGCCCCCCACAGGTTACTGAGGCCAGTGTACATGTCTGCATGCCTCTCGTCGACGTGGCGTTCGTTAGGCACTCGTTTCACGGTTTGTTTCGGTGTGTGTTTGTCATCGCAGTGTGGCGCTGACATTCCCCCCGCACGCATTAAACTATTTCCCTGCACGGTAGCCATGCCGCAGCCTGCGTCTCAATGGGCCTTAGATTGTACCGGGTGCTCCAGATGTCTTGTGACCGACCTCCGATTAACTGACCCATCACATTTGTTTTTCACCCTTTGCACATTCATCTCTGTTGAATATTAACTTTTTTTTAGGTTTTAGAAAATTTAAATGGGGGGGTCACGAGACATCTGGACCACACCCTTGTAGGTGTGCTGGCTGGATTGGTTGTCACCAACTATAGAGGGATCAAAAGCCCCCCCCCCCCCCCCTATGTCCCAAGTCTCGGTTCCCCAACAGTAACTCTGAGCATCAGGGACCTCTCTTACCAGTATCAAAATAGAATAATTGGTTTTACCCTTTCTGGCAATAAAACAGTTATGTTAAGATGTTAAAAACACCAACTTTTTGCAAGGAATCACGTCCGCACTAACCACACGTCATGCTTGTGATGGACATGCAATCAGAAACATGCTCTGGTAACAATATGCATTGTCTCTGGTGTGGACCAAGTCGCTACTACTTCAGCCCACCGGTGTGTTTGGAGAGTACAACCACAACATCGACAACTTGAGTAGTACGACGTTTCGCTGGTAATTGCATGCAGCATCGTCGGGTGGTTTTCCAGAATAGTGAAGCAACCCACCTGCTTCCGGGCTTAAATAGAACACGGTGGTGTTTTCTTTAAGTGTTGCTCATAATGCTTTGACGAATTGTGTAATGCTCCCCATAGTTTTAACCACTAGGACATATTTAGCCCATTGCGTTTTAAATAGTAATAATGATTCACTAATGATTCACTGATGGCCGTAGAGCAAAGAACCCAGATGCAGGTACGAAATGCATGCTCCTGTCGATAGAAATGTCGCTAAGAACCACACTGCTTTGGCCGTTCACGACGCGTCCATTAATGCGTCTACCGCGTACCGTAAGCTTTAACAACTTTTCATGTGAAATGAAATTAGAACGCTTCACTACATGTTGCATTGTCAATGTACCCTTTTTTAAATTACGTTGATAAAAGTTACGTAGAAGCGCGCCTTGTGTCAGGCGTTCCCTATTGATTTCCACCCCGTGTGATTCACCGTAGCGATGATCGACTATTGATTTCCAGCGCAGTTTGCTTAGCCACAACCCTTAACCATAACGCACCCCGCTGTGACGTTTAAACCGCTGCAATAAACATCTGTGATCCATCGTTGCGGAAGGCGGTAGGAAATCGTCCTCGTGTTTGTGAATGGCTATCGGGCGTGTTTCTAAATGAACACAAACACACGGCAATGGACAGCCGTGTCTACTCGTGGCGCAGACGATGGGTCATTTGGGCATTTCGCGAAGACGCGAAACCAACATCATCATCACTCTTTGGTTCTTTCGGTAAAGTAACGTAGGTAAAAAAATATACATCACGACGTTTCGATCGCAACGCAAGCGGTCTTCCTCAGGCGGAAAAAAATAATCCAG